TGTGATGGCCCTGGGGGCCAGAGCCAAGCAATGAATTTTGCGGCATGCTTCGACTGGATCCATATGTGATGGTCGCGGGGCCCGAAACCAGGCAAGAAGTCTGGCGAGCAGAAATTGTAGAGTCGGAATATAGTTTCCTCTACCGATGTGGGCGACCGAAGTGGGCACGGGAAAAACTGGATACGATGCCCAACTACACATGTTGCCCCAAACCGACAGCGGCCGCGGTTGGGCAGCCGGCCTTCTGCGTCAAATGAGCACCGTGCGCGGCCACGCCGACACCTAACCCTGTTCAACAAGGGCATGGACCTGGACTTCGGAGCAGAGCGGTTTGAGACACCGGACGTTCAAAATCGATCCCCGGACCTCTCCCGGGGTCCGAACGCACCTGTTTTCCGCGCTGCGTCCAGCCGTGCCAACGAGTAGGGCCCCCACGAAGGCCAACTACCAAGGTCTCGAAAGGCCCTCCTCTGAGAACTTCTGCCGGTCTTCGTGCCCATTCTTATGGAAACGAACACTGACATAAACATAAAAACTCGGAGGTCCGCGCAGATTTCTCGGATCTGCGCTGAAACCTCCCTGGCGGCGCCTCCGGCGCCGCCCCTGGCGAGCTCCGCGCGCCAAGGAAGGGGGGTCCAGCGCGGAACCGGGCAATCCGCGCGGACCTCCGAGCTTTCATGTTTATGTCAGTGCTCGCTCCCCTAATGCTTGCCGATCCGTACCGGTCCGAGGGCCCCTCCCCTGCCACAGCGGGCTCCTGCCACGGCAGGACCGGCGGCGCGGCAGAGCCCCCCTGGAACCGTCGGAAGGCCTGCCTGAGGAGGCCTCTAAAGATACGGACACCGCCGCTCCTCTCTAGGCATGCTGGCGTCACGAGAAAATCACGACGGACATGTTGTCAAATTGTTCTGCATCGGGGGGCCCTTGCTGGGCCCTGGAGGCTGGAGGAGGAGGAGGGAGGAGGACAAGCTAGGTGCGCTCGCGTCATATCTGACGTCCTACCCCTCCCTCCCATCCCTTACCATGGCGCTGATTTTCTCTATCCGCGGACGCGTGTCGTAGCGGACCTGTGGCTCCGCGCGCGCGTGCGTAGTGGGTGGTGGTGCGCGTGCGTGCGTGCGTGCGTGTGTGCGTGGTTGTGGTGGTGGTGGTGGTGGTGGTGGTGGTGGTGGTGGTGGTGGTGGTGGTGGTGGTGGTGGTGGTGGTGGTGGTGCTGGTGCTGGTGGTGGTGGTGGTGGTGGTGTGGTGGTGGTGGTGGTGGTGGTGGTGGTGGTGGTGGTGGTGGTGGTGGTGGTGCGGCGCGGTGGTGGCGGGCGGATGGGCGCGCGAGAAAGAGGCCCGCGCTGGGGCGAGAACGCCATCCTCAACGACGGAGGCCAAACACCGATCCGAAAATGAGGCCCACGCTGCAGCGGGAGCACGATTCGGAACGATTCGGGAGCAGAAATGAGGCCGGCGCCTCAGCGAGAGCAGCATTTTAGAAAAAAACACAAGCGAAAACCCAACTCTCGGGAATCCTGTGTGTAAAAAAACAGTACGCGGGGGGGTGCCGAATATCTTCCGGACGCCATCAGGGGAAGTGGGAGAGTATTTTCATATTGTGTAATTGTGGAGGAGAAGGAAAAGGATGAGGAGGAGGAGGAGGAGCAGGAGGGAGGAGGAGGAGCAGGAGCAGGAGGAGAAGGCTCCTCCCTCCTCGAGTACACACCGGGATGCCTTGCCCCCCTGCCCGCCTGCCCACAGGGCCCAGCCCGCTCCGCCGGGCCTGCGCGCACCGCTCGCCCTGCGGCCCCGCCGCCCCCAGCGCCGCCGCGCGCTCCCCCGGCGCGCCGCACGGGGCCAGCGGCCTCTGAGGGACGAGGAGGGGGACGAGGAGGACGAGGACGAGGAGGAGGACGAGGACGAGGACGACGCGACGACGAGGCCGACGAGATCGATGACGCGGACGAGGACGAGGACGACGACAACAGCGACGAGGACGAGGACGACGAGGACGACGAGGACGACGAGGACGACGCTCGAGGTCCTCAGGCGTTCTCGTCTCACGACCGGCGAGGCCTCAGATCATGGCGCTGCGTGTTTTCGTCAACGGGGGAGTCTGCCCTCTGCTTCGGATCCCGGGGCCCTCACAGGTGGACTCGGCTCGGAGACCACAGTCGGACCAAGGACAGAAGCACATGCCTCAAGAATATGAGACGCTCCGCCAGACAAAACACACAGAAGATCCAAGGGTACCCTCCCCAGGATGCACAAGAACGTCCAACAAGCACGAAAAACATAGGGTACCCTCCCCGAACCGACCTCGATTTTACACCTCGGTCCGACTGTACAATCAAAACGCTTAGTAAGGATGCACGGTCAGGATGCAGGGGCCTCGGAAGACAATGTCGACACCTTTCAAGTGAGGTGCGACCACCGTCAGATGCCAAGGATGGGCCGAAGGGGCAAGGGGCAAGGATGCAGGGGTAGCCTCGGAAAGTTGCTCAGGCTTGCTGTGCGCTCTGACTGCAACGCAGAGAGGTGGGGTCTGGTGCTCTGATCGTGACTCTTCGCGATGCTGCATTTGTTTCGCAACGTCGGGTCTTACGGTTGGGCAGGCTCGAGGCTCCAGGCTCTCGGGCGTTCCCTGCGGTGCGAGGATCGAGACTCACCACCTGAAGGCTTTGCACTGGCCCTGGAGCGCCCTCATGGCCGTGGCTGGCTCCGCCTCGAAAGGCTGGCCGGGACGCGCCCCAGGAGAGGTCCAAGGCTGCGGGGCTCGAGGCATTCGGGCGCTTCCGCCTCACGGGCGGCGAGCATGGCTACCCGTGCCCGCGCCCTCGCGGCCTGGCCTCCCGGGGCCCGATCCCGCGGACAATACGCGGTCGCACGACGCGGCCCGCTCGCGGCTCCCGCAAAAAAAAAAAACAGCGCCCCACAGCCACGGCGCCGCGGCCCGAGAGCCCGCCTTCTGGACAGCAGGCAGTCGCGAGAACGCCCATGACCGGCCCCGCCTTCCCGCCCGGTCCCCCCCCCTGACTTGGTCACGGCGCGACTCGCGCTGGCGCCGTCTGGGGATCAGCCCCTCCGAAGCATTCGCAGACGGCGCCGTCGCGAATCGCGACGTGACTGGCCCCCATCCCCCCCTCCCCCCCCCTCGCTCATGCCCGTCGTCGCCAGGGAATAAAACAACACTCTCCAGGATCGAGGTTCGACAGTTTCTGGCGTTTTAGTTGGTCTTCGGCTGTGTTCCAGCCTCGGGAAGCCTTCCAACGGCTGCGCCTCACAGGAGACGTCATCCTCCCGAACGACCGTCAGAAAGCCGAGTTATGGCCCGAGAGCCAGAGAGGGCAAATGGGGGAGACCAGCTCAGGAGGGGAAGCATCGAGCTGGAACAGACGAAGTATTGCCGATAGATCGGCGATGCGGCCCCGATAGCATAGTCCCGCGCTGCTGGGCCGCGTGGGCCATCGACAGGCCACCATCACCTATCGGCGATCCATGGACGATTGCGGGTCGATGCGTCCCCGCTGAGTCCCATCCCCCCTTGACCTCGGGCCGGATCAATCCGCACCGGATCGAAAACTCGGATCGGCCCGGAGTGCGCGTCGGACCCAGACCCCCGACGTCATGATTTTTTCATGACGCGACCCCCAGAGGTCTGGACACATTCCCCCGGACCGGTTTTTCATCCCGAGTCGTTTTTTGACGGTCCTGAGGGCCGGCAGGGCCCCCGGAGGTTGAAAATAGCGAAAAACCTGCCGTCGTGATTTTTTCATGACTCGAGGGGGTCTGGGGATCAGGTCGCTGCGGCACGGAGCCGGAACCGAATCGGATCGGCCGCGCCGGGATGCAGAACGGCGCCCTGCGAGCCTCGGGCCCCGTCGGAGCGCCGGAAGTGCGCCCGCGGCGGCCCGACGCTCCCGGACCTCTCCTGGGCTGCGTGTTCTGACCAGGACTTCGAGGCGATTCCAGCGGTGGCGGCGAGGGGGCCTCCCAGGATGCCCTCAGAAGGGGAAAACGGGCGGAGGGTAGCAGCCTGGGTCCAGTCGGAGCGTTGACCCAAGGAACCCAAAATGAGGAGCGAGGCCCCTCAGATCCCCAAGTGCGACTCTTCGATTTCCCATCGGAAACCCAAGCAGAACCCAGGGCAAACTGTGAAGCAATCAAGGAACACGGAGCCCCTCCCCAACGAAAAGGGTTCCTTCTTCAGGGCCCCGACTGTACCCTCTCCTCATCCGACGAATATGTCGAACTCGGAGCGGATATCGGACCGAAGCGGGCCCTGCCTCGGGCCGTCCTGGGCTGGCGCGCCCGGCCCGTGCCGCTCGCGCCGGCGCAGCTCCACCGCGAGGGCGCAGAGGATGCTCCCGAGGCCCTCGAGCCGGACGACGGCCTGGAGGGGGGGGCAGTTCCCGCGCGCCCGAACGTCGACGACGTGGTCTCCGTCAAGCCACACGCGCGCATTCCGTCGATGTGGGCCACCAAAAATTCAGGAGGGGCAGGAAACGGGCCCCGGGGAAGGGGTCAAGACCTCTGGGGCCGCGGCTTGAAAAAAACACCACCGGAGCATCAGGCCTGGGGCCACTAAGAACTACTGAGGGGCGAAAGACTAACCCCAGGGAAGGGGTCAAGAGCCTGGACCCCTTCCCTGGGGCTAGTTTTTTGTCCTTCCCACAGGTCTTGACTCAAGGCCTCTGGGGCTGCGGATTGGAACAAAAACATCATTGGAGGATGCCTGGGCAGGGCTCAGCTCAAGCCAACCAGTGTTTGCCGTGTTCGTTTTGTTTTCGTTCTCCCTTCGTTCTGTCTTCCTTCCGCCTTTGCTGCCAGACGAAATCAAAACGAACACGGTCCACGAAATCTCCAAAACACTGTTTAGCTCGAGCCCTGTTCCGGTGGCATCGCTTGTGAGCCTCCCATACCATCTTGCCCGCTCTTGCGAATCGACGCTGGTCGACGCTAAACCGACGCTAATCGACGCTAAATCGACGCTAGGCAACGCTAACTCTTCGACTCGAAGCGGCGCTGCAGACGGAATGCAGAGGGTAGACCAGGCTCCCATGACTTGCTACAGAAGATAAGGTAGGATACTCCAGATTTCGTAATAAAAGGGAGGGGGTCTGGACCCTCCAAGACAAGCCATTTCAACCCCCCCCCCCCGTGGGAGAACCCTCCAAAACATCGTCTTCAGACCCCCCCAGGCCCTCCAAGATGGCCTGGAAGAGACCCCCCCCGAAATGAGACCCCATCCCTTTTATTACGAAATCTGGAGTAGAGAATCAGCTCACGTGGCTGGCCAATTTTCATAGCGACTCCTGGCGCCGGGAGGCGCCCGTGCATCCAGGAACGGGCCCGGCGGCGGGGCGGCAACCCGCGGCACGCGGCAGAAGTCGCACCCCAGCGTTTCCCCCAGGAGGGACAAGGAAAAGCGACAGCAACACCACCAGGGACCAGCGGCGGGAGGAGCCAGGGGCGGTCCCCCTGGTGGCGTGGTGCCCCTCTCGCTCGAAACGCCCTCCAGCCCCAGCTCGGTGAGGCATTGCTGACCTCCTAGCTGGAGGCGGCCCCCCTGGTGGTGGTGGTGGTGTCGCTGCTCCTCCCCCCGACCCTATCCTGCCCTTGCGTCCGACGCCTGAGCCAGGAGAGCGCCTATACCATCTTAGCGGCTCTTGCGAATCGACGCTGACCGACACTACATCGACGGTCATCGACGCTAATTGACGCTAGCCGATGCTGAATCGGCGATATCCCATCGACTCACAGACGCTAATCGACGCTGTTCGACGCTAAGGACGGAATTTAGAGAACATACCAGGCCCTCACGACTTGCTGCCAAACGAAACCTGTGCCTGGGTGTACACCTGCACCAGGTCCCCGCTGGGCCCCCGGTCCGTGGCCTGGCCATGTCCTGCCCTTTCGTCCAGCCCGAGCCAGGAGACAGAGGCCTCCGACTCGAAATCCCCTGATAATCGTCCTCTGGGTCTGGTTTTTTAAGGCGATTTTTTGGAAGCGGGGGGTCCGGTTTGTTAGGGCGGTTTCATTAAACCGAAGACGAGGGGGCCCGGAATATGAAGGCCGCCCAATGACAAGGGGGTCCGGAAAATTAGGTGGCCGTTGAATGGGGGGTCCAGTTTTTTTCCCCACATGCTTAGTGGGGTTATGGTTTTCTTCCTTGCCTCGTCGCACCCGCGGCTCTCACACCCCACCTTCATCCTCCCTCTCCTTTCACACAGCACTTCACAGCGCAGCACAGCGCAGCACAACGCAGCACACCACAGCGCAGCACAGCACACAATACACATAGACACACACACAACTCACACAACGCACACACACAAACACGCACACACACAGACACATCACACCACACACACACAAGCAGCGCAGCACAGCAGAGCACAGCTCAGAACAGCACAGCACACAAGCACACATCACAACACACAGAGCACACACACAAGCAGCGCAGCACAGCACAGCACAGCACAGCACAGCATAGCACAGAGCGGGCGTGGCAATTTCTCGACACCAGAGGGGGTGCCGAGGGGGTGGTCTCTCATCGCGGCCGCTATCCACGACAATGTCGAAAAGCCTCGCAGGCGCGGCAATTTCTCGACACCTGAGGGGGTGCGCAGAGGGTGGTCTCTCACCGCGGCCGCTATCCACGACAATCTCGAAGAGCTTAGCAGGCGCAGGAATTTCCCGACACCAGAGGGAATGCGCAGGGGCTGGTCCTTCACCGCGGCCGCTATCCACGACACTGTCGAAAAGGTAGCAGGCGCGGCAATTTCTCGACACCAGAGGGAACGCGCAGTGGGTTGTCTCTCACCGCGGCCGCTATCCACGACACTGTCGAAAAGGTAGCAGGCGCGGCAATTTCTCGACACCAGAGGGTGGGCGCAGGCGGTGGTCTCTCACCGCGGCCGCTATCCACGACACTGTCGAAAAGCCTGGCAGGCGCGGCACTTTCCCGACACCAGGGGGGGTGCGCAGGGGGTGGTCTCTCACCGCGGCCGCTATCCACGACAATCTCGACGAGCTAGCAGGCGGCGCCTATCTTTTTCAAATTATGCAGTGAGCCCGCCGCAGGCGCCGATTTTTTCGTTAAGGCAATGCGGGTGGATCGCGGGCTGGGTCGCGGGTGGGTTGCGGGTGGGTCGCGGGCCGCGGGTGGGTCGCGGGCTGGGTCGCGGGGTGGGTCGCGGGTGGGTCGCGGGATCGCAGGGTGGGTCGCGGGGTGGGTCGCGGGTCGTGGGGTGGGTCGCGGGGTTGGTCGCGGATGGGTCGCGGGGTGATTCGCGGGTCGGGTCGCGGGCGGGTCGCGGGGGGGACGACGACGACGACGACGACGACGACGACGACGACGACGACGACGACGACGACGACGACGACGACGACGACGACAACAACAACAAATATAATCCCCACCACGGATCCCCACTTCAGCCACGCACCCAGGGATGTGTGTGTGTGTGTGTTGGCGCCCTCCCCGAGGGCCGGGGCCAGCGGCAGGCTGTCGCTCCGGGGGTTCAGCCACCCAGCAGAGGAGGCCGCCCGCCGGGGGCCCACCCCGGGCTCGTCGGGCACGTCGGCCCAGAAACGCAGGCGCGTCGCGTAGTGGACGCCCCACTCCTGGAGCAGGGGCCGACCGTCTCGGCATGCCCAGAACCCTACCACGACATGCTCTTAGAACCCAAAAGTGCTCTATAAGAGCAGAAGCGAGGTTTTTAGAACAGAAGCCCTATCCGTGTTACAACAAGACGGTCCCAGCCAGAACTGTTCTAGGAACATCCCGTGCGACCCACAAAGAGTTCTTAGAACATTCTTTGCTGGGCTCATTGGCAAGCCAGGACGCTTCGCAACTGATCGAACTCCTTCTCCCGCTGCAGCGGAGGCTCGCCTTGCCACAGTTGCAACAGTTGCGAGCTCGTTACAACCCACTCTGTGGGTGGCAAGGCCGCCCAACCGCCTTATAGGTCTGAGGATAAAGAACGGACCCAACTCGGAGCAGCCAGGCGGATGCGCAGCCCACTTGCAATCGCCTTGTATGTGGGTTGCAGCCACCTGGCAACTGTTACCAGTTGCAACGATAACTGCAGCAGGGCTCCGTTCTGAGCGCGTCCGATGCCTGAGCCCATTCGGCTGTCGAGTGGACTCACCATCAAGCCCATTCGGCGGCCAGACGGGCTCAATTCCCCAGACCCTGTCGGATGTCGGAACGGGATCGGGCGCTGGGCTCAGAAAGCGAATTGTGGTGTAGAGGAAGAAGCAACGCCAGCAACACAAACTTTCGAGGCTCCGCGCGGACTTGCTGGCACGGCGCTGGGCCCCCCTGGCGGCGCCTCCGGCGCCGCCCCTGGCGTGCTTGTCGCGCCACGGATGGACGTCTGGCGCTGATCCAAGAATTTCGCGCGGGCCTCAGAAAGTGTATGTTTATAGTTGGCTTCCCTTCATCGAGCTCCTGCTCCCAAATCTCTGCCACCTCGCGTGGAGTCAACAGGGCCCGGGGGAGCTGCATGCGAAACACCTGGCCATCAACCCGGAGGCTCGCCGTGTTGGTCGGGGCTCTCGCCTCCAGGTCTTCGAGGTCGAGCATGCCTGGCGCGCGGTGTCCTGCATGCGGCGCCGGCCAGCATGCGGCGACTCCCCCCTCGAGAGACTCGAGCCAGACGGATCGCGGATGGGGACGAGGCGGGGCACTGGGAGGACGAGGAGGGGGGGCACATGGCGGGCTGCAGAACCCTTGAGCCAAAGAGCCCTGCCATCGCTTGGGGGGCGCCTCTCTTACTGCCGCTGGCTTCCGCCGGCCTCCCGCAAGCTTCTGCCAACGAGGAGACGTCAGCTCCCGCGACCCTCGGAGGCGAGGCCCTGTCTGGAGCGCCCCGGATGGGCAGCTGCTGAAGCCCCAGGGAAACCAGCCTTGGCCATGGGCCTCAGGGGCCCCACCTGTAGCTTTAGATCGGGCGTGTCCTCCTGCAGGCGGACGTTTGGAAGGACAGCGAAACAAGAGCCCAAAGATGCCCCAAAACAGCACAAAAGAAGGTCGAAACACATCGTCCCCAGCCTAACTTTTGACTATCTTTGGCCAGGTCTCCTGCAGAGGGACACGCCCGACTTGCAGCCCGCGGCCCCGCGGGCCCCCCCGCAGGAGGAGGCGCCGCGCCCGCGGCGGCCCCGAGGGCCCCCTCCCCGCGGGGGCCCCCGCGGAGGCTCCCCCCCGAGGAGGCCCTCGGGAGGGCCCTGAACAGGATGAAGCTTACGTTTAAGTCGGGCGTGTCCCCCTACAGGGGAATTTTCAAGGAAAAATAAAAAACATATAAAAACATACTCCAAGAATGCTCCCAAATGGTCAAAAAATGCCCAACTGACAATCCCCAGACTATGTTCTGACTATTTTGAAATATCCCCCGTGTAGAGGGACGGGCCCACAAGCAGACGATTCAGCGGACGATTCAGACATGATCGACCCACGAGCCCGAAAGGAATCTAGAAATGTGCGGCACGGCAACGTTTTCAAAGACACTTGATCGGGCGACGAGCACATGCAATGCTGAGCGTATCGATCTTGATCTACCGTGCCGAGGGCTGTGTTGTGCGGCGCCGTGCTGATTTGCCATTGGCCATGCCGCGAGTGTGCTCTGTAGTAGCGTTGTGGATCGAGTCCTCCTTTGCATCCGAGTCCTGACCGAACTGATCTGGATCTTAAGCTAGCCTGGGCACCTAGTAGCTGCCCAGGGCTAAGAGACAGTGGGACAGGCCAGGACGACACGCCGCGGAATGTCCCAAGGGACGCGCCAGGGGACGTGCCAGGGGACAGAACATGGGGACGCCCCGCGGAACGTGCCAAGGGGAGGCGCTACAGAACGTGCCAATGGACGTGCCACGGGACGTGCCTTGGGACGCGCTGCGCGACGTGCCAAGGGGACTCGCCACGGGACGCGCCACCGAACGTGCCAGGGAACGTGCCAGGTTGCAATGCTGACTGTATCGATCTTGATGTACCGTTCCGAGGGCTGTGCTGTGCTGTGCTGCTGGGGAAACGAAAAGCGCTCCCCGAACACAGATCCCAAAACAGAAGAATGCCTCCTGGGGCCTGGGGGCGGGGTGGCGAAAAGCACCCCCCGAGCACGCATCCCAATACAGAAAATGCCTCCTGGGGCCTCCTGGGGGCGGGGGGGCGAAAAGCACCCCCCGAAAACACATCCCAATAAAGAACAATGCCCCCTGGCGCCTCCAAAAGCTTCCTGGAGCCTCCTGGGGCTTCCTGGGGCGTTAGGAATCCATGCTTTTTTTTGCGATTCTCCCACCACAGGGCGTTAGGACCCATGTATGTTCACGCTTGTAAGGACCTAGGGCGTTAGGAACCCATGTGTTTTCACGCTTCTCTCGCCCTGGGGCGTTAGGAACCTATGTGTTTTTTACGTGTGTCTCGCCCTGGGGCGTTAGGACCCCATGTGCTTTCACGCTTTTCACGCCCTGGTGCCTTAGGAACTTCCGTGTTTTCACGTTTGTCCTGCCCTGGGGCGTTAGGAACCCATGTGTTTTCACGCTTCTCGAGCCTACTGGGGTATCCTGGCTGGGGGGCGGGGGGAAGCGACAAGCGCTTCCCGAATACACACACACGCACACCATACAGAACATATGTAAAACAAGCACGCCGGAGACATCCTCAGAATTCTGGTCCCCAGGAGAGGACCAATCTATAACACTAAACAAGCGTTTCGCTCGAGACATCCTCAACACATTCTGGCAAACAAGCATTTCGCTCGGGACATCCTCACAAATAATTCCGCCGGCGCTCTTCCCACTTTGTTTTCAATTGCAGAATAATCCCGCTGGCCTCCTTCAAGTCGAGGCGGGAGGGAGAATCCACTAAAAGAGAACCCTGGGCGTAAGCCCGTTCCGAGAAAATATTATAATAATAGAATGCGGACGATCTTTCTATCATTTTTGACTTTGGTTGGACATTTCTCTAACTGTTTGACTATCTTTCATTTTCTTCTAACGTACGCCTGTCGGAGGACATGCCCCACCTAACCCCAGAACGTCTCTCGACCCCCCCCCAAAAAAAACAAGTAAAATCTATTATCTTGTGGGCGGCCTTCTTGACGGACCGGTGTCCCACCAATCGAGGGAGACTACTCATTTGGTTCCCCGCGGCGCCCGCCAGCTGCGCTCCCATGAAAAATCTTGCTTCAGACACTAGTCAGCACCGAATCGATACATCGAATCGGATCGGCACGTGCATCGAATCGGGCGGCATCGGCACGGAGTCGGAATCGAATCTGACGGCTACGGCAGGATGCACAGCAGCGCCAAGCAAGCGTCGAGCCGCAGCGGACCAGCCGAAAATCTGAATTTAATCGAATCGGGCTGGCTGGAGCCGATATCGAATCGAATCAGGTCGACGTGGACCCTGTCCCTGAGAGGGCCCCCAGGAAGCCACCCGAGGGCCCCAGCCCTGAGATCCGGGCGTTGCAACTGGTTCACGCCGGGCGTTTGCGTCTGGCTTCGGGACCGAAGAGCATCACACGATCTGGATCAAATGAAAGAAACAACGGCATAAACATCAACTTTTGACACTCCACGCGGATTCCTGGGATCTGTGCTGGACCCCCCAGGGCGACGCCGGAGGCGCCGCGGGGAGGGGCCCAGCGCGGTTTCAAGAAATCCGTCCCCAGCGCCAAAAGTTTATGTTGATGGCGCTTTGTCTTCGGACAAAAGATGCAGCAGAAACGTATTGGGTCTGGGGGTCTGGGACTTTTGTCGCTTTTTTTGTGCGACGCTGCATCGCTTCTCGTAACGTCGGGTCTCCTGCGCCTTCGATCTTGATGGCATATGTTCACACTGGGCTGCAGCGCGGGACTCCGCGGCGAAAAAAAAACAAGGGCGGGTACGCCACGGCGTCGGCTTTGCTTGCGCGGCCCGTGGCTTTCGCGTCGGCCTTTGGCTCGGGTCCCAGATGTGGGTCAATTCCAGCTCTGCGGGCAGCAAGAGTGAGGAAGCTTTCGTCGTCGTCGATCGGGGATTGAACATGACCAGCGTTTTGGGCTGCCTGGTGGGCTCTGGGGGGGGGGGCGGCTCTGTGGGCAGGCGTTACGTTACCTTTGCAGGGGGGTGGCTGTAGCTTAAATTCTGGCCGCCATGCTACGCACCACAACATGAAAACATCGAGGCGCTGCTATACGCCAGGAATTGTCGACAATGCGGCACTGTAACACTCGCCAATCGCTCTCCTACTCCTACTCCAGCTCATGTCGCGACTGCTCCCAACTCCTCGGCCTACTCCCTTCCCTCCTTACCCTCCGCCCCTCTTCGCCGACCCCGTGCCCTCCCACCCCCCCTCCCCGGCCAGGCTATCCTTTCATTGTTATGTTTCTTCTCATCCCACTCCTCCTCCTCCTTTGCCTCCTCTTTTGCCTCCCCAACATCTTCCTCATCCACTTTACATGTCACCGCGGCCTTCTTCTCCCAGTCGTCGTCATCATCTTCATGATCCTTCTTCTGATGCTCTGATGCTCCCCTCCCCCTCCTCCTCCTCCTCCTCCTCCTCCTCCTCCTCCTCCTCCTCCTCTTCCAACTGCCCCTCTGCTCTTCCTCATCTTCTTCATCGTGCTGCTCTTCTTGCTCCTTCTCACTCCCTCACCGCTCGTCCACCATGCCCCATACCGTACCGTCTCATCAAAGTCGCATTGCTGGGGGAGGCTAGGCGACCAAGCGACTCTCCGAGGCTCGGACTTCGGCTGGGGAAATACAAACTTATGATAAACATGCGGTCAACAATACCTGGACGACAAACACGGCACAATTGGTTCTTGTCACTATCGTTCCAGCAAGTCTCGACGTCGACGTCCATCTTCTGAATCGGGCCCGCCCGCGTCCCCTATACTTCTCTGTCGCTTCCCAGCGCAACTGGGTGGCACGTCTGTAGAAATACAAATGTTACAGCAGCTGATTGCAAGGCCAGTTTACACACAGCAACGTGTAATCGCACATTGCGGCTGGTCGTCTCGGAAAAAGCTGTGATCCGGCTCCGCGCACGCAGGAGACCTCGACGTGGGAAAACTCGGCTGGTCCGGGCCCGGCTGCTCATTCCTCAAGCCGTCTTGGCCCGGGTGCGGTTGCTGCCGTGCGTGCGCCCGACGGTGTGGTGATGAGCCTCGCGAGGGGGAGTCGCAGCATACACCAGCCGGCGAGCAGAAGCAGTAAGAATCGACGGCACGCCGCCGCGGGGAGCCCATCGGCGTGCCTTTGTTTGAGTGCGGGGCCTTCGGGCAACAAAAGCGAAGGGAGCAGCATGCCCACGGGCTCCCAGCGGCAGCGTGCTGCCAGTGTGCAAGCCCTTTCCCCTCCCGAACTGGGCCACCGAGCTTCGCGCTCCGCGCTCGGCGAGGCTCGGCCACTCGAGCACCCACGCCCGCTCGCGCGGCCGCCCTGAGGAAGGGCACCCTGCCCTGGCCAAGACCGCGGAGCGTGGCAGTAATGAGCTGACGTCGGGGCACCGTGGGCGACGGGCAGGTCCCTCGGGAGACGCTGGAAGCAATTCGAGGCACAGCAGGCCATACCGTAACAATTACATCGCGCTGCAAGAGCTGTTGAGACACAGTCTCCGTCGATCGCTGAAGGTCCTGAGGTGCCCTGGAGCTTCTGTAGGTCCCTGGAGCCCTCGGGGGATGAGACACCTCCGCGGGGGAAGTACGCAGCGAGGGGCGGCAGCTTGGAGGCGGCCAGGGGGTCTGACCTGGCTGGCACTTCAGGAATCAGACTGGAGGGGCGGGCTGAGACATAATCCGCTCAAAATCGGTCCCTGGACCCCTCCCCGGATCCATCTGGTGCAGTTTTTCACCCCAGATCCGTCCTTGACGGCCGCGTGGGCGCCCCCAGAGCGGCGCCCGGAGGCCGAACAGGGCAACAGAGAAACCTCCCCGAACCCAGGGCCTCGCACCTGCCCCCCCCCCCGGACCAATGCTCGGTGGAACCTGCCCCGCCCCCCCCAGGACCTTGCACCTGCCCCCCCCAGGACCTTGCACCTGCCCCCCAGAAACCTCCCCGAACCCAGGCTCGCTGGAACCACTGCTGGGACACCTCGGGCCCCAGCCGGCTTCCGGCGGCAACAGTCAGAGGGCGGGGCGGGGGCGCCGCACGGGGAAAGGGCCGCCGGCGGCGGGGCCCGTGGGCAACCGGCCGCGGCCCACTGCCAGCCGCGACGTCGCGCCGAGCAGCGGCGCTGGGCCATGCCCCGGGGGAAGGGGCGGGGGTCGCACGCGCGCACGCACGCACGCACGCACGCACGCGCGCACGCACGCACGCGCGCACGCACGCACGCACGCACGCACGCACGCACGCACGCACGCACGCACGCACGCACGCACGCACGCACGCACGCACGCACGCACGCACGCACGCACGCACGCACGCACGCACGCACGCACGCACGCACGCACGCACGCACGCACGCACGCACGCACGCACGCACGCACGCACGCACGCACGCACGCACGCACGCACGCACGCACGCACGCACGCACGCACGCACGCACGCACGCACGCACGCACGCACGCACGCACGCACGCACGCACGCACACACACACACACACACACACACACGCTCAAGCTTTCGTCAGGCCTGCGCAGTGTCCATCAGAGCAAGAACGCAGCTGAGCACAGGAGGGCGCGCAGGCAGCCAAGGAGCTCGGACACGCAGAAGCAGGGACGGAGGACGCTGCAAAGCCCTAAGAAAGCAAAGCATTGACAGCGCGAGCACCAAATCTGCAAGTGGCCGGGGAGCCCCCGCGCTATGCTCACGAACGTTGCTCCACCCCGGCGGGTCTGGGCATGGGGTCGTGCCCGCTGCCGCGCGGGCGGATGCCCCACAGCTTGAGAGTGGCCCATCCCATACCCGTCGCATCAAAGACGCCTCGCTGGGGGAGGCCTGGCGACATCCCGCTTCGCCTCCCCATCATCATCTTCATCCACGTTCTATTTCACCGCAGCCTTCTTCTCCCAGTCGTCGTCACCATCTTCAGTTTCCTCTTCCTGATGCGCCCCTCCTCCTCCTTTTCCCACTCCTCTCCCTTTTTTCCTCGTCTTCGTCATCGTGCTGCTCTTCTCGTTCCTCCTCGCTCCCTCATCGCTCGTCCACCATGCCCCTTGACCGTCGCATCGAAGACGCCTTGCTGGGGGAGGCTAGACGACCAAGAGACTTTCCGAGGCTAGGACTGCGGCTGGGGAAAAGCTATGTTCGGGTCCCTTTTGGGCGCCTTTGGGCACAAGCTGGCTCCAAAAATAATACAAAAGTGGCTCCTTAGGGCCTTTTTCTTCACCCCCCATTTGGGTCACCCCCCGTTACCACCCGCCCGATGCTTTGGGAAGAACGACTGACTTTCGGGCACACATTCTGTCAACGTTACCTGGACGGCAGACAGACAGCACAGCGCGCAAAGGGCTGTTGTCACTATCGTTCCGACAGGTCGCGAACCCAACTATTAAGCGATTCGTTGTCCGTCCACGCTTAGGTCGGGCCTGCCCCCCTACAGGCGGATTTTGGACGGAACACTGTCTAAAAAAAACAAGCAAAAACAATAATATGCTAGAAAGTCCCCAGACGATTTTTTCGACTACTTTGGAATCTTCGTCCTGTAGAGGGACAGGCCCGACTTAAGTCCACGCCCACCTCCTGAATCTGGCGAGGGGCCATGTCCGTGGAAAGGGTAGGGGAACGAGAAATTACATAAACATAAAAACTCAGAGGTCCGCGCGGATTTCTCGGATCGGCGCCGGAGGCGCCGCCAGGGGGGTCCAGCGCGAACACGAGAAATCCGCTCGGACCTCGAGTTGTTCCGTTTACGTCATTCTTCGTTCCCCTAAAGGGGGGAAGTTCGGCGGTGGACAATACTCCCTAGCAAACCTCCCTTCAGTGAAAACGGCCCAGGACCGAAACCGACGGACCCGAATCCGCAAAAATGGCGGCCGCGGTGCCCTCTCGCGAACCGAACACGGCCCATGCCTGAGTCGACGCGTCAGGGTAGGAGGTCTGCCCACCTCCGAGATAAGGGGGGAGGCCGCCCGTGCGGTCGCTGGGGGGGAGGGGCGGGCAGCGGGGCCCCTGGCCTGCCCGAGATGGTCCGCCGCCTCGCCGAAACGATGCCACCGGCGCGCCTCCGTGGGGCACTTCTGGCGTCGGCGGCGAGGCGGAGGCGGCCCGCCCGCACCGGCGTGCGGCTACTCGGGGCAAGCGACAGGCGAACTGTCCGGCGTGCAAGGAGGCAGAACATAGGAGGAGGAGGAGGAGGAGGAGGAACTCTGGCCACGGCGAGCCTCGACTCGACGGAGAGGCTCTCCGGCGCCAGCAGCGGAGGAACGGCCCGACAACAATTGGAAGCCCTCCCGAGCCCGAAATAGTCCATGTTTCCGCGTCTTGACTGCAGGCTACAGCTCAAGATGGTTCAAGACTGAAGATTGGCTCCACGAGAGCTGTTTGTTATTCGCGGCCATAACGGGCGTTACGGGGAAGGAGCGTGGGGGGCATAACGTAACGCCCCCGCCTCCCGACGTGACAGACTGCAGTGACGGACGAGCTGCGGCAGTGCCGGGGCCGCATTTGGGGGGGGGTAGAGCATTGCGCTATGTCGGGGGAAAGAGAGCGGGGAAGGGGAACGCGGAAACGTCGTGTCGATCTTGGTCACCGTTGATCTTGGTCAGCGTCATTTTGTGGAGCATCCTCTCAAATCGGCGACGTCCGACATGGATAATGACCAAGATCGGCATCGACTAAATCCCGCGACATCTTGGTCATTGTCCCCGTGTTTCTTCCCTCGCTTCAAAATGGGCTCAACATGCCTCCAGCATGCCCCAATACGGGGCCAAACCGTCACCGCTTGACGATGCAGCCCCGAGTACGCCGCCGAGCAAGTGGCTCGCCAGGTGCCCAAAACACCGCCCACAGGAGTGCAACTCCACGCTGGACAAGCTTGGCAAGTAATTACACCCAAAGCGGAACCGCCGCAGGTACAGCCACCAGACATACCACCACGATTCGGGCAGGGTGACGACGGCCAGCAACCCGAGAGCGGTAACAAGGCGCCAGACGGCAGCCCGATCGTCCAACCCAGCGAGGCAACGAGCTTCGCGTCGAAAATCAAAGGGTCCTACGCGAGATGACAAACGCCACGGCTTGTGCGGGCCCCTTGCGCGGCACGCCAGATTGGAGACGAAGGCGCTCACGCGCGACCTTACGTGGGCAGCTTGCGCACCAATGTCGGCGCAGACGACCCCGGTGTCTTGCGTCGCTTATGTGGCCAGGGGGCCTCCAAGCGGACGCCCCCCCAGAGCCCCAGATCCCTCCGAGACCTCCGGAAAACCATGCTCTTGGCCTTCTCGCCGTTCCGCCTCCGTGGGGCCGCGGCATGTCCCAAACATCCCAACGTCGTGGTAACAGACAATGTTTTCAAGGAATCCTCGACCGGCGGCCATATCCGCATCGAATCCATGCCGAACCCATGTCGGACTCGTCGGATTCGTGTCGGATCCGTGTCCAACCCGCGTCGAATCCACGCCATCCGCGTCGACTCCGCATCGAGCCCGCGCCGTGCACAGGAAGAGTCACCGATTTGGGGGGCAGGCGAGGTCCCCCGAAGAGAGGCAACGCAGTGCAGCGTGCCCCTCGGGACCGTCGGGCGGCTGCACCCGGCGCGACGGGACCTGGTCCGATGGGAGGCGGCCCGCGCCTCCGAGGGTCCACGCTGCGCGAGCACCACAGCTCCAGAGGACGGGGGTCGTTGGAGGCCGCGGGGAGGGTGGAGGTTGGAGGGGGTCGGAGCGCGATGGGGGGGGGGAACAGGGTAGAGGTGGGGATTGCGCAGGCACCGACCGTCCCAGCATTCCTGTATGCCTGCCAGGAGATGTTCTTCGAACCCGGAACTGCTCTAAGAACAAAAACAACGCTCTTAGAACAGAAACCCGATGTGCCAAACCAAGACAGTCTCAGCCAGAAATGTTCGAAGAACATTTCGTGGACACCACAGAGGTTCTCAAACCATTCTTTAGGTGGGCCTACGTTTAGGCAAGCCAGGACGCTTGGCCACTGCTCGAAGGAAAGGGGGGGGAGAACGGGCCAAGCGCGAAGACTCGAAGACAATCCCGCCAAAACAGATGTGCGTTAAGCTGCGGAACGCCCGAACTCCCGCACCCGACGCTCCGTACAGACCTCGCGCCGTGGGCTCCTCGGTGCATGGGGGGCCCGCCAGAAAGGGCCTCCGGGAGGCCCCCCCCTCCTCCTCCTCCACCCCTCCTCCTCCTCCTCCTCCTACTCCTCTTCTTCCGCTCTTCTTCCTTCTCCTCCTCCTCCTCCTCCTCCTCCTCCTCCTCTTTCTCTTCATCTTCAACTTCCGTCTCCTCTTCCTCCTCCTGCTCCTCCTCTTCCTCATCCTCTCTTTCTCTTCCTCTTCCTCTTCCTGTTCCTCCTCACCATCCTCTTGTTCTTCCTCCTCGGAGTCCTGGGCCATCCCCGGCGCCCTGGAGCGGGGGGCCTCCATGTAGCTGGTGTTCGAGGCGCTGGCCCGGTGGATCCAGTGGCCCATCCGGAGCCGCGAGGCGTCGATCCTCCGGACGGTGGTGCCTGCTGTTGGAGGCCGCCCCGCTCCCTCGCGCTCTTCTCCAGTTCCTGCGCAGCCAGCCCCTGCACCTCCTCCTCCTCCTCCTCCTCTTTCTCCTCCTCCTCATCCTCCTCCTCATCATCCTCACCCTCCTCCTCCTCCTCCACCTCCTCCTCCTCCTCTTCGTCCTCCCTCCTCCCACCTCCTCCTCCCGCCGCCTCCTCCTCCTCCTCCTCCTTTCCTTCTCCTTCTAGATAACTCATCCCTGTCGCACACCGAGGCCAGTTTTTAGGGCGGGCCAGGCGCTTCACCTGAGACTTCCTCACCATTAATGTCTATGAGACAACAGCTTCACGGATGGAGGGCCGGTCGTTTTGAAAATGTGCTTCTCGCCTTAGCGCCGCGCGTACTCGTCTTCAAAATTTGCCAGATGTTCACGGATTGAGGGCGGGTGGTTTTCCAAATGTGGCCCTCGCCTTAGCGCCGCGCATATTCGTTTTCAACATTTGCAAGAGCTTCGCGGATTGAGGGCGGGTCGTTTTGAAAATGTGCCTCTCGCCTTAGCGCCGCGCATACGCGTCTTCAAACATTGCATGATTTTCACGGATTGAGGGCGGGTGGTTTTCAAAATGTGGCTCTCGCCTTAGCGCCGCGCACATTCGTTATCAACATTTGCAAGAGTTTCGCGGGTTCCCATGATCACCGTACCGGAAATGGTGTTTTGGAAGGGTTCAGGGTATAGCGGGTGCAACATTTATGCTTATTCGCGGTGTGGAAGTCCTTAACACGGCGTGCTGGCACGATTCTGTATCGTCAAACGCAACAGTCAGGTTGATACGTGGTGTTGAAATCCCGAGAACAATGCTTTGGCATGCTTCAGGATCGTTAAACGGTTGTCTTCCAACGAGGCGGTTTCCTCAATGGGAATTAACCGTTGTAGGGGCCTATGAAGAGGGAGCTTGGAGGTGGGAGCTTGGAGGGAGGGTTCATTCCAACATTGTTGATGACTCTTGGGCTTACACTGGCTCCTGCTCCTCCTCCTCCTCCTCCACCTCTACCTTCTCCTCCTCCTCATCCTCCCTCCTCCTCCTTCTCATCCCTCCTCCTCCTCATCCTCCTCCCGCCTCCTCCTTCTCCTCCCTCCTCCTCCTCCTCCTTCTCCTCCTCATCCTCCTCCTTATCCTCCTCCGGGCGCTCTCCTCCTACTCCTCCTCCTCCTCCTTCTCATCCTCCTCCTCCTCCTCGTCCTCCTCCTCCTCGTCCTCCTCCTCCGTCTCCTCCTCCCCCTCCTCCTCTCCTCCTCCTCCTCCTCCTCCTCCTCCTCCTCCTCTTCTGCCTCCTCTGCCTCCTCCGCCTCCTCCTCCTCATCCTCCACCTGCTCCTCCTCCGTCTCCTGCACCTGCTGCAGTTGGTGCTCCTCGTGTCCGCTACCTGATGCTGTTGATGCCGCTGCCGCATCCCCTGCTCCCATCATCTCCTCCTTTTATGCAGGGCTCGAGCTGAGCAGCGCTCTCTTCGTTTTCGTTGCGTGATTGCTTTCCTCCGTCCTGTTTTCGTTCCGCCTCTCCTGCGAAACGAGCCAACATGAAAACGGCCCACGAAACGCAAAAACACCGTTTAGCTAGACACCTGCTGTTGTTGTTGCTGCCGCTCCCCTTGCTCCATCAGGCGGAGAAGGAGAAGGAGGATGAGGAGGAGGAGAAGGAGGAGGAGGAGGAGGAGGGATGAGAAGGAGGAGGAGGAGAAGGAGGAGGAGGAGGAGGAGGAGGAAAAGGAGGAGGAGGAGCCCACGCCACTGAGGGGGGAGGCGAACGTCGTTGTCCAGGGCGCGCTCGCCGCGCTGCCCGCGGCCCCCGCGGGGCCTGGCGTCAGGGGCACCTCGTCGGAGGACACAAGGTCGACGGCGTGCCCGGAGAAATCGTTGATGTCGTAGCCGGCGCCATTCTCGATGGTGACACCGTCGACGGAGACGACGGGCAGGCCAGCACTGCGAGCGGCACCGTCAGCGCCAGCAGGGCCCACGCCAGTCGAAGGAGTAGCCGAGGAGGCCGAGCCAGTGCACGCGGTCGCGCCGTTGCCAGCGGACGTCTATCTAGCTGCCATTCCACGAGTGTCCTCCACTCCACGAGGTGTCCTCCATCAGCTCGGAGTGCAGCTCGTCCTCGAAATCGTCGCTGTTGGCTGCCAAATCCGCGAGGAGCGAAGGAAATTCTGGATCCTCATCATGGTCTTGTACCTCTTATTCAGCAGCAAGAAGAAGAGGCGCGCCAGCAACAGAGTCAGCGTGCTGATCCCCGTCGCCCCCAACAAAAATGGGATACATCTGTCCAGACACGTCAGCGCCCGCTTCCAGCAGAGCAACAGGGTGAGTAAGCAGCCAACTGACGAACTCGCGATTGCTGTCAGAGAGCAATGAAGGGGAGTCCACGTGCTGGACTACGGTGGACAACTGCTCAAGCGACAACACGTCGGAATGCGCCGCGCAACCAACTCCGCTTGCACTTGTCGTCTGAATTGCCCTGTGGATCTCCAGGCAGAGGGAACTTGAGAGAGGCCAGCAGCTGGTGGGGATCGTACGTGTCGCTGTCGTCGGCAGAGCTAGCCCCGAATCCCATTTGCCCAGTGTTAACAGCTGCGGGGCCCAGCCCCGCATGCCCAGTGCCAGCAGCGGCGGGACCCAACACACGCGCCCCTTGTCCAGCACGCGTCACACGTGGAAAAGGCACTGCACATGTCCAGCGACGTCAAAAGGGAGCTGATCCACAGGCGGAACAGGAGGTTCACGCGGAACAGCATCGCCAGGTGGTACCTGAAAACCAAGAGGGTCGGTTTGCACCTGGTCGGGAGTGTGCTCCAAGGAGTCGTTTGCGGGACTGGAAAACGACCACAACCACTGCTTCTTGTTTGCGCCGCCTTCCAGCCGGCCGGAAAAGAAGCAGCGGTTGTGGTCATATCCCGGGTGCCAAGCTCAACGAAAATGACCACAACCGCTGCTTTGTTTCTGCGGGCTGGAAGGCGGCAACAAAAGAAAAGCAATGGCTGTGGTCGTTTTCGCGCCCCGTACTGTTTATGTCGCAGTCGCCGCCGCTCTCGGGTGCAACGCCGCCCACGGAAGATGCGGGCACACCAGCACTGCAAGCGGCAGCATCCGCTCAAGCGAGGCCCGCGCCAGTCGCATGTGTAGCCGAGGAGGTAGGGCGAGAGGAGGCTGCCGCGCCCTCGCCTTCGGACATCTCTGCCTCGCCGACGTTGTCGTTCGGGCCGCCATTCTGCTCCGCTTCCCAGATGCCCTCCATCAGCTCGGGGCGCAACTCGTCCTCAGAATCGTCGTTGCCAGCAGCCACTTCCGCAAGAAGGATGGAATGATCATGACCCTCGCAATGCTATTGCGCCGCATGACCAACGGCGTGGAGAAGGAGTGAGTCAGTCAGCTCCAGGGTCTGCGTGGCCATGCCCATCCCTGCCAAAAAGAACAGGAGACACCTGTCAAGACGAGTCAGGGCCAACTTCCAGGAGCGCGCCAGGGTGGGTGAGTAGCCAACACGCGAGCTCGCGATGGCTGTCTGAGGGCGCGAACTTGAAGTACATGTGCTGGACTGCGGCCGCAACCTGCTCAGGTGACAGCACATCGGCGCGCTCTGCGCTCTCGCTGGTCGTCTGAATAGCCTCGAGAATCTCAGCGCTGAGGAACTTTAGAAAGACGAGCAGCAGGTGGCGAGCGTTGGCATCGCTGTCGCCGACTGTGCCTGCCTCACTCCCCATCTGCCCCGTGCACGCTGCAGCGGGACCCAGCCCCGCATGCCCAGTGCCAGCAGCGGCGGGGCCCAACACCTGCGCCCCTTGTCCCGCACGCGCCACAGGAGGAAGGCCCATCGGCATGTCCAGCGCCGTCTGAAGGAGCCAGCACCACAGCCAGAACAGGAGGCTCCCGTGGAAGAGCATCGTCTGGAAGCACCTGAAGTCCAGGTGGATCGGGTTGCTCAGGTGGCGCAGGAGGTCCAGGTGGTTCTCGGCTTCTGCGGTTGCTGCCCTGAGCGGGCGAAGCAGGCGTCGACCAACCAACCGAGCCATTCGGGTAGATCACGCCAAAGCCGTGCTTCGCCGTCTGCTGGTCGAAAGCGTCATCCTCTTCACTGGCGTTGTCTTTCTTTCCCATCGCAGGCTGCGTGTGTGTGGGGGGGAGGGGGGGGGGGGCGACAGCGCAGCATGTGCGTTGGACGCAGCTGCTGAGAGGTCGGGACCTTCCGTATCAGGCTGCAGCTGGGAGCTTCAGAGAGCATGGTGAACGTGCGCCTTGATGCCCTCATCCGTAAGAGTAAGGCGGAAACTGTGCGAATATTCGTCGGCGGGCATTATCTCGGCCTCGATGGGCGGCGGGTCTGGCTCGGGGATCTCCGTGCCAAGCGGCCTTGAACTGTTGGCCGCTTCGCCCACCGCGTCCGAATCCGTCGCAGCCAGAACAGGGTAGCCGTTAAAGCCCAAACTGCCGTCGTCCTCGTCGGGGAAGGGCCCATCAGCCGACGCAGTCCCGCCATTGCCCCCCGCGAGAAGGTGGGGAGGCAGAGGAAGATGCGGATGGAGCGTCGATGGTGGGTCAGGATTGAAGACAGCTTGGATCCGCAGGAAGTCCTGCCGCTGCGTAGAGGGCATGCGAGAGGGGTCGGCTCGCAATTCTGTTTGACGAAGATGAACAAGGGCATGGCGCCGCAGCTGGATGATCCGCACGTCGCCACGACCGTGCCAGGACGCGCATAGTCGCCGTCGCAGCTGCATCGCCCCAGCGTGCCATCCACTGGGACGCAGTCAATAGTTGCTCCCCCCAGCGATGCGCAGCATTGGCACATAGATCGCGAAAGCCACTATATCGCAGGATGTCGGCTGCATACGGGACGCACCATTCCATCCACTGCAGGAAGCCCTGCCCACCGTTCTCGCACGCGCGGAAGGAAGCCAAGTGCGCGACCAAGCGCCGATGCGCTCAGCGAGATGGGCGCGGCGAGCACCATCGACATTACCCATGCTGTTTTGTGAGAACAACGCGCTTTGCTCGACCTCATTCATGATGGCCTCCAGCTCGCTGGATCCCTTTTCGAACGCGCCTTCTGGAAGCGCGCCTTCTGGAATGCAAAGGCAAATGCCGGCGCGGAGTTGTTCTCTATGCGAAGGGAGAAGGTCCTCTTGCGCGTGCCACCAGACGGAGCCAACCGCGTTGCTGAATCGCTTGAACGCGCAGCTCATCGGCCACCTGCCAGGGCACAGTCACATGCAAAGATAACAGGGAGCGCGAAGTGGTCGTGTTATGCAAGCTGGCATGACAGATGACTCCACCGAGGGAAATGCGCTCGCTATCAGCTGGTATTGGATCTGCAAAGAGACCAACGAAGCAACGATAAAGCAACGCCTCGGCGATCTTGTCAGTGCCCCACTCCATCCAGTCGTCGAAATCATTGGAGATGATCCCGCGCAGAAAGATCGACGGCAGCCAATTGCGCGCCCAAGCGTCTGCGCGCCGTTGAAGCGCAGCGAGCTGCGCTCCATAGAGGGGGCCAGTACCCATAGGAGGAAAAATTGCGAAGCGCTGCCAATCGCCATGGGGAAGCGCGCCCGATGCGGCAGAGCATCGTGAAGAACGCGTCGATCCATGGGGGGGCGCACCAGGAGCTCTCTATGCGGTGCGCGATCCACTGGCCCCTGCAGCAGCGTAGCATCCGCTTGCGGCGCCGACGAGGTTGCAACAGACGCCTGAGAAGCTGCTGGGCGACTGGATGAGGGATGGGCGAGCGCACGAACACGAAGAGCGCCGGGCGCCGCCGGAGAGAGGGACTCAGGGGGAATCTGTTCAGCATGCCGTACATCGTGATAAATCATTGTAGCTAGCTGGAGGTTGAGCAAGTCATTGTCGTCTGTGGACAGGAGGCCCCGGCGCGCGAAAGCAGCCTCGGGCGCAGGGTGGCGCCCGCCAGATTTCGCCATGGCGACCCCCCAGGCCAGCCCCCGACGCTGCAGATAGTGTCCAATGTCATGATCGCGCCCTTCGCAGCCAAAGATGCACCCGCGTTGTCCAGCCGCTGTCGCGATACGCGACGACGTGAGCAATGCAGCTAGCATGCCGCGCGAGATGGTGGTGGCCCATGCCGCGGGGCAAGGAGGTCCTCGGCTTTCTCCTGGAATGCAGCCCACTTGACACGCACAAGTGCGTCCTGAAAGTCGGGGGGCCACTGGGGCCAACGCTTCGCCACTGCTGTCAACGACGGCGAGTCTGCGCTGCCTATCTCGCGGCAGAATGGCTGGGGGAAGGCCGGCAAGTTGGCGGAATAGACAATCTTCTGCACTGCGCGCGGCGCATGAGGGTGCTCGCAAGGACGAAGCCGAGCCGTGGAGGCCGATGGGGAGAAGTTCGGCGAGTACGCAGCCTCTGAAATCTCCACGAACGATGGTAACAACCGACAAGATGGGAAGAGCTGCTAAGTGAGGTCGACCAGACGGCGGCGCCTGATCCACCGCTTTGAGATAGACCTGGATTTCTGAAGGTACTGCCGATGTTCAGGATGCGGAGACGGACCAGAGCGCACCAGAGCCGTATCTGTCGAGGCAGCGAGCGATCTCAACTTGGGGCCGCCCCACTGGCCCTGACAAAAGGAATCGACATGGGGGGGCGCGCCGCCAGGACAGCAAAGCAGACGGACGAGAACATGAATGTCGAACTGTAGCATGGTCTTGGGGAACGGCAAGAATTGCGCCACGTGGCTCATGGCTGGGAGAGCTCTGATGATGTGCTTCAGCTAATTCAGCGGCAGCGGGGTCGATGACGCCGCGAGTGCCCCAGTTCGACTTCTGTGCTTGGTCCACGGAACCATCCAATATTACAGCGTGGAAAGTCGCAGAGCCAATCCACACACTATGAAATAGCAACTTACCCTCGATTTTGAATAACTGCCGAGATGGAACATGCGTCGCGAGGAATGATCTGATCTTGCTTCGCAACTCCTCCGAGAAGACGTCGGCCAGCGGAACCAGCACGCGCGCGGGCGTTTTGGGCTTGACGTTGGCCAGCTTCTCCGCCACAGCCACGGCCCGAGCCGAGAACCGAAGGTTGACCATGTGGACCAACACCCCGCCAATGTCGTCCGCGCATGCACGAAAGACGCCTCGTTCTTTAACTTTCAGGCCGGCCCTCGAGCCCCCCAGGAATGGCGAGGTAGCTGCAGCGAAACGGCCGCCCGACAGGGCGCAGCCTTGCATGGCGCCGCGGAAGATGCGGAACAAATCCATGGCGACGCCAGCAGTAATGACAGCATGTTTGCCGCGAGTGGCGACCAATGTGCAGGGCCTCTAGCGCCGCGAACAGGAATTCCTGGCTGAGGCTGGGGAGCGCCAGGCCGAACTCCAGCGCGACCAGCAGCGGGTTCGTGTCCAGCACGTCGGGCAGCAATGAGCAGATCCTGGCGATCATATCGAGATCCAGAATGTTCGAGGCGAGCTGGCGACCAGCAACGAAGTCTCTCTGAGCCGATGACGCGGTTTGCTGGGTGATCGGGGAAAGCACCGCGTTTAACGTAGCAGAGACGATCTTCATGTCTGTGCTCCTGAGGCCGGGCGCCCTGACCGTGCCGGGCGACCGCGAGGCCCCCTTGCCTCCCTCATCATCTGCGGGACAGCCCTTGAGGAGAGGAGCCTGCAGCGTAGCTCCCGACGGAGAGAAAGGCTTCTGGCCATCCAATAGCCAGACGTACGCTTTCATTGGGACATCACCGCCAGCAGGAAGAGCCGCCCACGCTGCGCAGGGGAGCCCGTCGACTCCAGGAGCAGTGTGCGGGGGGTATGACTTCTGCAAGAATTGCCCAAGAAGCTCTCGCGATGGTGGTTGAATGTGGAGAAATCGCATGGCTTGGCGATGTTCAGAGCATCGGCCTTCGTACTCTGTGGATATTCAACTGGCTTGGCGGGCACGGGAGCCCGGATGTGGCCGGCGCGCGCAACTTCTGACTGGGGTCGGTGTAACAGATCTCTCCAACCTCCGTAGCTCGAAGCGAAAGCCTCTTCCCAAAAGGAACCCATAGCTTCGCTTTCCAAGTCTTGGCCGAGATGATGCTAGCGGAAGGCTTCGCTCGCCCTCTTGCGTGTAGAGCGCTGCGGTGAAGCTCAGCCAGGTCACGAACGGCCGCCGCGCGCGGAACAGACGCGGCCCGGGCCTTACATACAGCTGGCTGTGAGAGACGAACCTCGCCACCGTCAATATCGATGCATGCTCTCGCTGCTGTGTTCACCAGCTCTTTGTATATTTCCAGCTGTCGTGGCGGATGGAGCAACGAGAACGACGTGGCCTCTTGTTCCAGAAGTCGATCGAGGCGGTGGCGATAGTCCTCGTGCTTGTAGATCGCTGCCGGCACAGTCTTGCGACAAGCGCGCAGGCCGCGGGCGAAGAACCGCGCGCACAGCTGCATGATCGGAAATGCCACGCTCGGATATTGCTTCAGGCGTTGAGACTACCGACGCCGAGTGCTAGATTTGACACGCTAGCCATCCAACTTCAGAAACCCATGCTCGATCGAGCTGCGCGACTGTCCGCGTGTCCTTGCAATGGTGGACGGTGTCCTCAGCAGCGATTTCGACGAATCCCGAGAATGTGTCAATCCACAAGTCACATGCGTCTTGGAGTTGTTGGTGACCTTTTTTATCCCTCGCCATCTCAGGCTTGGCAAACTGCAGCGAATCGAACGATGCGAAGTCGAAGCCACCGCTGACAAAAACTAATCGAGATGCTGGCGACGAGACTGCGGGAGTCGTTCGTGCTGACGCGAGCACTGGGACTGTCCAGTTGTGCTTGAAATCGTCGTTCCACGGGCTGGGAACGCTTTTGACCGCCTCCTCCACAACTTTGAGCGCGGCCGTGGCAGGGCCGACCTCTGGCTCAGCTGCTGAGCTGGTGGAGGCAGTGACAACGCCAGTGAGCTCCTCTTTGAAATATTGGAACTTCCTGAGCATGTGGCCGTCGATGAGGCCCTTGATCTGCTCGTCCCAGCCATCAAGGTCCATGACGTATTCGACATCGGCGTCGAAGTTGTTGCGACCTCGGGCGCTCCTCTGCCCGAGCAGCGTCCTCATCATCAGCCCGAACAGGAACATCAGCACAAGCTCGCCCAGGCCGTCCCTCCTTTTTCCTCTTTCCTTCGCCCTTGGCGGCCTTCAACTTCGCCCCCTCGCCCTCCTCTGCTCCTCCTCTGCTCCTCCTCTGCTCCTCCTCTTATTCGTATGCCTCCTCCTACTCCTCTGCCTCCTCCTCCTCCGCATGCTCCTCCTCGCGCAATACTAATTCGGCACAGCCGTTAAGACATCCTGTTGGAAGAGATCGCAATCGCTCGGCCGCCAGTGACCGCGCCGGTGTGGATCATTGCAGACGCGAGCCCGGCCAGCGAGAGGGAGGCGTGCTGGCGGGTGTGCGAGCTGGAGCTCTTCAAGGAGCGGCGCTGGGCAGGCCGTAGGGGGTTCGGGACCAAGTCTTGTGATACTTGACCGTCGTCGTCGTCGTCGTCGTCGTCGTCGTCGTCGTCGTCGTCGTCGTCGTCGTGGTCGTTGTGGTTGCCGTCGAGCTCTGAGCTCCCCGGGGTGCCCGAGGGCTTCCGAGGCTCCCCCCCGAAGGCCATCCAGGGCGAAGGAGCGTGGGGGCACCTGCTGGCCGGCCAGTCTCTGGCTTGACGTGTATGCCGTACGTGGAAGCCACTTCGTCGTCGTCGTCGTCGTCCTCCTCCTCCTCCTCATCCTCCTTCTCCTCCTCTTCCCCTCCTCCTCCTCCTCCGCCTCCTCCTCCTCCTCCTCCACAAGGAGCCCAAGACTGAGACCCCAGGACATCCCATCCTTTTTGTTGGCGCGGGAACGTCACATTTCTCAATAGAAAAACCATCAAGCCCTAAGGAATCAATGGGACCCTGGAGGCAAACATGGTGTGCTTGGCATCGCCCCCCACTGTAGTCCTCTTCCGCCTCCACCCCCCCACTACTGCCAGCGTAGGGCCTCGTAGACGTTGTCCACCTCCTTCTCCACATCCTCCTCCCCCCCACACTCCTCATCCCTCGCCTCCTCACCCTCCCCACCTCCTCGCGTCCTCCCGTGGTGGGAAGACAGAAACGTACCGATACCACAACCCCCAGACCTCTCCTGGGGTGCGTTCTGCTACCCCCAGACCTCTCTTGGGGTGCGTTCTGACTAGAACCTCGAGGCGAATCCAGCGATGGCGGCGAGGAAACGGTAACGGTGCGGGAAATTCCCTCTTCCTGCTCTGACCCGGTCCCCTCCTCCTGGTGCTGCCCCTGCTCCTCTTCGCGGCTTTGTTCCCCCACCACCCTCCCCCACCCCCACCCCCCTCGTGGACCTCAACCCCACTCGTGGACCCCCTCGACCCTCTGCCGGCCACTGACCCCCTCGTGGACATCGACCCCCTCTCGACCCCCTGCCAGACACGGGCCCCCCTCGTGGACCTCGAGGGGCCACCGACGCAGCAGTTTGGGCGCCTCGGCCCCCCGAGGTGGGCGACCGCGCCGCACCGCCACGGGTGCCGCACCGCGCCGCAACCGGGGGCCAGAGTTAGGTCGGGCATGTCCTCGCGTGCGACCGAACACTGAGTCTCCTCGAACGTTCAAAAATCTCGGGCCTCGAAAACCCGAGACATAACTGGCCAGCGGCCTTCACAACTGGAGCGGCTGCCTCTCGCAAGCCGCCTGGGGAGTCTCGGGGCCATCTTGGACAGCCCCTTCGGCATGTCCTCCTACAGGAGGAGCTTGGAGGAACAACAAGAACAATGTCAAATCATGCTCCCAGATAGACAAAAAATAGTCAACAAATCGCCCCCCATGCTATTTTTGGTTTAGTTTGGGAATTCTTGACGCTTCGCGTATCCCCACCAGCATCCGCGGCCCCGCGCGCGTTAGGCCATTTAGTCGCGGCCGTGGCCCGCCCGCGACCTCCCGCCGCTGGCGCTTCCGCCTGCGGCTGTAAAAAAAAAGTATCCCCACCAGCCTTTCTCCTCTCGCGCCTCCCTGCCCCCCCCCCCCCTTCAGGCTGCCGGTCGGTACTCCACCTACGGGTCCGGCCTGGTTCCCCTGCGCTGTCGCGGTTGCCCCTTCTGCTGGCACACGCTCAGTGACTTTTGGGTCCGCGTGCTTTCGGCAGGGCTTCGGTTCGCCCCCACCTGCGGGTTGACTCGTGGCCGCCTCTTTCTAATTTATCTGCAGGTGCACTCTGCGCGGTGTCGCGCCAATTATCTGTCGCTGTGCCCCAGCCTCGGTCATACCGCCCTCTGGACTTCTCCTTGCGGGCCGCGAATCAAAAAAGTATCCCCACCAGCCCATCCAAAAACGATGCCCAGGCACATTGCGGTAATCAGGGAAGTGAGGGAGCATACAGAGTAGCAAAGGGCTGGGGAACCCGTCTTACCCAAGAGGGCGAGGATGGAGGAGGAGTCGGAGGAGGATGAGGAGGAGGAGGGGGAGGAGGGGCAGCAGTTGGGAAAAGTGGGAGGAGGGAGGAGGGAGGAGGGGGAATAGGCGGATGATGAGGAGGAGGGGGAGGAGGAGGAGGATGAGGAAGGGGAGGAATAGCAGAGGAAAGGAGGAGGAGGAGGAGGAGGCTGATAAAGTGGAGGAGAAGGAGGAGGAGTAGGCCGACAAGGAGGAGGAGGAGGAGGAGGAGAAAGATGAGAAGGAACAAGAACAATGATGTGCACAAGAGCCTCCTAGGATGTCCCTTGGAAGTTGTTTTGGGGTACTCTTGGAGCGCCTGGGGGATTCTTGGATGCCTCGGGGATCCTCTTGAGGCCTCTTGGGGGTCTGGGGAGCCTCTTGAGGGCCTCTTGGGGACCTCTTGGGGCCTCCTGGGCGCCTCTTGAGGTCCTCTTGGGGCGCTCTTGGGAGCGCTCTTGGGGCCATCTTGGAGGTGATCGATCAAAGGAAGGGGCTCCCCCAATTAGCGCCCCCCCTCGGGAGCCTCTAAAATCGCCTCTTAGACCCCTCTTGGGACGCTCTTGGAGCGCTCTTGGGCGCTCTTAGGGCCGTCTTGGGGTCATCTTGGGGCCCTCTTGGGCCCTCTTGGAACCATCTTGGGGCCTCGAATGGCCATCGGAAGCGAAAAAGGCGAGAAAGCAAAAAACATTGATTTCCCAGAGGTTTTGGATCCATTTTGGCCTCTTGGGGGGCCTCCTTGGGAGGCTACGTGGCCAATTGGAGTCGTCTTGGGGCGGTCTTGGGGCCTTTTGGAGCATCCTCGGGGCCATCTTGAGGCGTCTTGGGCTGTCTTGAGCCATCTTGGAGGTCATCTTGGGCTCTCCGAGGCCCTCTTGGAGCCATCTTGGGCCATCTTGGACGCTCCCAACTACCAGCGAACCCCCCCGTCCAGGTCCAGGGGAGGGGGTTAGGGGGAGGGGTAAACCCCTCCCCGAAGGGGAAGAAGGGAAGATGGAAGAGGAAACTCCCTGAACCACCGACGCCCAGAGGGCTGTTGGGATTTCTCCCTGTAGAGGGTCAAGCCCGACTTAAGGCCAGATGGCGGACCCACGCCCCTCGACCTGCACCTTCCGCCGCACCTTCCGCGCGGCAGGTGCCGCGCTGCCGCGGCCGCGGCGGCCATCGTCGAGGCCGCGTCACGGCGGCACCTACCCCACGTGAAGGTGTGGAGGTGCAGGTCGAGGGTCGCCAGCTCGTAAACCCCACGGCGCGGACCAAGAGGTACTGCAGACACTTGCGTTGGGAAATCCTGCCGTGAGAAATCTGAGGGCACCCCGTTCAGCTCGGCCTTGGACCTCACGGGGTGACTCCGGAACTCGGGTGGGCGTCCAGGGGCCTCGGGGAACAACACATGTGCGTGAGGCACCTGCTGCCATACCATACTTCTTGTCTGGGCGAGGAGGATGATGCGGAAGATGCGGAGGATGAGGAGAGGAGGAGGAGGAGGAGGAGGAGGAGGAGGAGGAAGAAGAGGAGGGGGAGAAGGAGGAGGAGGAGGAGGAGGCGAGACGCCCAGATGGCCTCCAAAACACCTATTATCCACGTCCAGGGCACACTCCTCCTCCCTCCTCCTATTTCCTCCTCATCCTCCCTCCTCCTCCTCCTCCTCCTCCTCCTCCTCCTCCTTCGTGGCTGGATGGGACGAAGGCCACTCGATGGTTGGCGTCTCAGCGCGTTGCAGCGACTGCTACATTGTCCGAGAGCCAGCCAGGCTCGGGGGTTGCAGGTGCCCTTGCTATACTTTCCTCCCGTCCCTCTCGCGCCTCATCGGGTGAAGCACTGGGGTGGCCGACAGGTGGGCCTGCCACTGGTCGGAGTGTGCGCGGTGTACCTGCGTATTCCTGGCCGCCCTCCCCCACATCGAGGGGTTGACCCCTGTCCTCGCTCAGGTCTTGTCGATCATCCACTCAAGCATCGGCTCAGATGGACCAGTTGCTGCTTGCTGAATGTGCGCTGAGTGCTATATACGTGTGCTTGTCCGCAGTCGCCAACACTACCAACCGACGCCTCCGCATCCACTTGCCGCCGCCTCCTCCTCCTCCCGACTCATCCTGCCTTCTGCCTCCTTCTCCTCCTCCTTTCACGATACTGCTGCGCTTCCCCCCCGCGCCACGCCGCTTACACTCGCCATGCACTCGTCAATCTCCATTCGCTCCCTGGCTTGTCTTGGTCAACCGCCTTCCTCCTCGCCTCTCTCTTCGTGGACCCCGCAGGTCCCGACCCTTGCACCGGGACCGTTTCATCACCGCGGGTGGCTTTCTGAAGGTCACGGTGCCCGCCCGAGGCCGAACGCTGTCAAACACCTCCAGCCGCGATCTCTCCACGACGCGAGGAGGCCTGGACCCTCCGCCAAGCTGGGCGGACGGGGCACCGCTTTCGGACGCCCCGTGGCCTTGCCGGTGCCCCCCGAGCATCTCGCTCTCGCGCGGGTCGTGCGGCGTGCACCCGTCGCTCGCGAGGGCGGTGTAGATTGCTGGCGGGCTGGTCTCGGTGGCCTGCTCGAAGATGGTGTAGTACTTCCTGGGGCCGGCAACCACCCAGACCGCTTCGCGTCATGCACGGCATCGCGACACACACTGTGCCTCCAGAAGGGCCCTCACCGGGCCACAGTGCAGCCAACACGAGACACCCAGGACTGAAGCGGGTCCTGCAGTGGAGGGGGGGAACCTCTGGGGGTCCTCTGCTGAATCCACTGGGGGGACCTTCCCTTCCTCCGGAATAGATTTGGCGGCGCGCACAGCGGGGTAGGGGAAAGGGGGAAGGCTTCGTAGAAGCCTTCCCCCCTCCCCGGCCCCGGTCCGACCAACGAGCCCAGGCGACGGGCGGCAACGAGGCGGCGGCGGGGCGGCGACGGGGCGGCGAAGCCGGCGGACCCGACAGGCGAGCCCAGCTCCGTGGCAGGCCAGTGCGAGCCCCCGCGTGCAAGCACTGCGCCAGGGAAGGCGGATCTCCTGTTCCAGCGGGCCCGAGGGGGGCGGGGGGAGGCGGCGCACCCGTCGCGGGTCGAGAAGGGGAACACCTGGACGCCCGGCATGTGGAATCCTGAAGGTAAGGACCCCTTAGGTAAGGAATCCTTATTGGCGACGCGCAGAGGAGGGGGGAGGGGGAGTGGGGAAGTCTTCTTAGAAGGAGGCTGCTTCTTAGAAGGCGCGGGCCTTACATCTACAGAAGAAAAGGCCCGCGCCTTCTAAGAAGCAGGGGTGCTTCCAAGAAGCCTTCCCCCCTCCCCCTACCCCCCTCTGCGCGTGGCCGACCTTAGCTAAGGAATCACGATGCCCAAAGGAACCCCTCGGGTAAGGAATCCCAGGTTCCAGGAGCTGGGGGGTCACCAATCGAGGCCTGGCCACGGACATCTCCGCCGCCCTCATCAGACAAGGAAGCCCCCAGGGTCTGAAGCCTCCCACCGGATGTGGCCCAGAACCAACGCCCCCACCGGATGTGGCCCAACACCAGCAGCGGCCGCTGTCGGGCAGGCTGCCTCCCGTCTCGAGTGGACAGCGCCCGCGGCGGCATGGGGAGCGAGCCCTGTCAGAAGCGGGCAAGAACTGCTGACGGTCTTCGTGCCCCTCCTCTCCGTGCCCATCCCGATCGCACCGAGGGCACGCCCGCGAGCAGGGCGAGGGCAGGAGGGCTCAGCGAGGAACTGGGCCGGGCGGGACGGGCGGCGAGGGGCGGGAAGGGGGAGGACGCGCAGGGGACGCTGGCGCGAGGGGGCGCGGACGGGGCGGGCCAAGCACGAGGAGGGCGGGAGGGCCAAGCAGGTGGGCGAGGAGGGTCTGGACGAGCCCGACGGGCGAGAGGGAGGAGGGGTCGGGAGGCGGACGCGGCGGCCCAGGGCGAGGGAAACGAACATACACATATAGATGTACACATACACACATACATACATACAGACATACATACCTACACACATACATACATACATACATACATACATACAATCATACATACATACATACATACATACAATCATACATACATACATACATACATACATACATACATACATAAATACTAGAACCATCGCGCGCGCTTCGCGCGCGCTTAGGTTCTAGCGCGGGCCAGGGAATACTTACAACATATTGGGATCGTCCATTTTGTTGTCCGCCTCCAAGCGGCCTCCAAGACGGCCCCAAGAAGCACCGAAGAGGTCGGAAGTGAGGGGGTGAGATCGCAGTGGAACGGAAAGCCCTCCACCAAGAAAAGGGTTTCGGCTTCGGGTTCGTGTCGTGCGCGCGGGCGAAGCTGCGTGGGCGGGCGAGAAGAATAGTTTTGCTGTGGCTAGGGCGGGTCAAGAGCCGTTGACCGCCCCATCCACCTGGTGGTCCAGCGTTGGCCAAGGTTGTCCCGCCGTCGTGTCCCGGCAGTTTCCCGTCGGTGTCCCAGTAGTGTCCCGTCGCTGTCCCGTCGGTGTCCCGTTGGTGTCCCGTCGGTTTCCTGTCGGTGTCCCGTCGGTGCCCCGTCGTTGTCCCGTCGCTGTCCCGTCGCTGTCCCGTCATTGTCGAGTCGGTGTCCCGTCGGTATCCCGCGGCGTCCCGTCGGTGTTCTGTTGTGTCCCACGGTGAAATCGATGATGAAATCGATAGTGAGATCGATTGTGAGACCAATAATGATATCGATAGTGATATCGATATTGGGATCGATAGTGAAATCGAATGTGAGATCGAAAATGAAGTCGCTCGTGAGATTGTTCAAGGGATCGAAAGTCAGATCGGTGTGAGATCGATAGTGAGATCGGTAGTGAGATCGATAGTGATATCGGTAGTGATAGCGATGGTGGGATCGATAATGATTTCGATAGTGATATCGGTAGTGAGATCGATAGACGGGCATCGATCTCGCGATCGATAATGACATCGATTGTGAAATCGCTCGGATGAGGTCGATAGTGAGTTCGATGGTGAGATCGATAATGGGACGCTGCCTAAGGGGAAAGCACGACCCCACGGGGTCACCAGGCAACGCTCCCTGTGGGTTCCTGGTTCCCCGATGAGGTCCTACACCCACTGAAATAGAGAAGAGGGGACGAAGTGCCCGACGCGACCCGGAGGCAAGGTATGGAAGGAGGTGGAGCTTCTGACCTACAACCCAGGCTCAACCGAAGCGGCGGCAGCGACGGCGGCGGGGGCCGAAACGACGATCGAAGTTCGAGGGGGATGAGAAGCGAGGCCGTGGGGAGGGTGGGAGCCCTCCCCAAAAAACGGCGTGTTATGGGTCCCGGTGTTTCCACTGGCTATCATGAGGTCGCGTCTGCGATCTGTGAGCCGTATTTGGGATCTTTTGGGTCTTGCCAGAGCGTTGACCATTTGTGATTCGAACTGATCTCGGCCATATTGACCTTCTCTTGGGGCCCTCGTGAGACCTGGGGCCCAATCCGCCGACCCTGTCGGCGTGTGGAAGACGCCCTTCCTGCCCCTCCCTTTTCTTCACGCATGATGTTCGGGATCCCCGTCCCCGTACGAATGTCCCTTCCCGTTACGAATGCGAATCCTCCTCCTCCTCCTCCTCCTCCTCCTCCTCCTCCTCCTCCTCCTCGTCCTCCTCCTCCTCCACCTCCTCCTCCTCCTCCTTCTCCTCCCCCTCCTCCTCCTACTGCTCCTCGTCCTCCTCGTCCTCGTCTCCCGTTCCTCGTATTTCTTCCCCCCCTCCCCCTTCCTAGGGCACGAACCCGAAGGCACCAACTGCCAGCGACGACGAATCGCAGCAGGCAGAGCACGCGGGACTTGGGAGTGTCGACGGCGAAAGAAGCGTCCGACGCCCGGTGTCGCATCCCAAGGAAGGTTGTGATGGACCCAAGTCTGAATCGATGCTCCCGTGAGCCTCTCAAGCAATATCGTGTAGGAAATGTATGTGAGGCCCCTGTGGCGCTCTGAAGGGTCTCGAAGGGGGCCTCCATCTCGGAACCGATGTCTCTGGAAACCGCTGTGGAAACATCGTTTAAGGTGTAGACGCGTGGCCTCTGAGAGGGTTCTCTGGGCCTCTTGGAAGCCTCAAGAGCCTTTGGCTCGTACTGCCACCGTGCCGGGATTGTGGCCAGAGGCGTGTCACACCTGGTTGGAATATCTTGGCGTGCTGCTCGGGTGCCTCTTGGTAGAGCGATGTTTTCCAGCCTTTTTTATGAGTTCTGAGAGACTGGAGAGGCGAGAACGCGTAAACATCAGAAAACCACACTGAGTGGCATGATTGGGCCTTCTTGGCGGCGCTCTTAGGGTCTTTTGGGGCTCGTATGGGGCCCTCGAAGGCCGTCCCGGAGCGCTATTGGGCAGACTTGGGAGGCCGGGGCCGTCTTGGGGCTCTCTTGGGGCCCTGTTGGGCCCTCTTGGGGGTCTCCTGTGGCTCGCGCAGGGCTCTCTTGGGAGCCTTTTGGGCCCTTTGAGGCCGCTCTTGGGCCGTCATGCGGCTCTCTTGGGCCGGTTTGGTGCTCTCTTGGGCCGTTTTGGGGCCCTCTTGGGGCCTCCGGGGCCGACTTGGGAGGATCTAGGGGGCTTCTTGGGACGTCTTGGACGCTCTCGAGACCAAACTAGCGAATATGCTAAAAATGCACGTTTTCGAAAGGGAATGTGCCGATTTTTGCTTCGTGGAGGTCCTCGTTGGGGCCTCTTGGGGCGTTTTCGGGGCCTCTTGGGCCGTCTTGAAACCATCTAGGGCACTGGGAAGTCATCTTGACCAGTCCTGGGGACCCTTTGCGGCGCTTTCGGGTGCTCTTGGCAACCTCTTGGGCAGTCTGGAAGCCATCGTGGGCGCGTCCCAAGGGCTGTCTTGAGCGGCCGGGGAGCGGCCGAGGAGGCCCCAGGGGGGGGTGGACCCAGATTGGGGGTTCGAGGCCGTGGTTTCCGGGCCCCGATTTCCTTCCCCGGGTAGATGTATACATATATATATATATATATATATATATATATATATATATATGTGTGTGTGTGTGTATCAATATGTATATAGCAGTGGCGAGAAGCACGCTCCTGACGGGGGGCGTGCGGGGGAGAGCAACTGATGAGCAGGAAGAGGAGGGCACGATGGAACACGTTTTCTCCTCCTGTTTCGCGATGGTGGCCGCTGCGGGCTCCGGCCGCTCCCACCCCCATCCAGGTAAAGAGCGTCACGATCCGTGCTGACCTCCGAGGTGTCTTTGTGGCTATTCCTTAGACATTCCAAGACAACGCCAATGCGAAAGGTGGCGTTACCGACCCTCTGCCCCCGTCCCCTTCCCGTAACGCCCGTCGTCGCCAGGTGTAAAAAGAGCTCCTCCTTTACGAATAGAAGGAGGGGAAGACCACACAGGGAGGATAGCAATGTACGGCAAATGTTCGTCAGCCCGCCCTCCTGAAGAAAGGCACGCCCAGAATCCATACTGGGCCGAAGTCGGAGGACATGCCGATCTCCATGAGGGACGCCTCGCACTTCTTCTTCGTCTCGCCCCTCGCGCCTCCGATGA